TATATTGTATTATAATCTTTGTCAATTTTTTCTTTAAATTTTTCTATATTAAGCATTATCTTGTCATGAAAATTCATAATTTTCTTTGTAATAAAGCATTATTTCTTCTTTTTCAATTTCTTTTCCAATTTTTTGGTACATTTATTCATCTAGTATGTATCTTATTGTTAAATTATTTAATATTTGTTCTCTAATTTCTCTAAGTAATTCTTTGGTTATTATTAATGTTATTAGTTTTAATCTTTTAGGACAGAGTTCTATTATATATTCTCTTTCACTATCTTTTATCATATAATGCCATCCTGTTTCGATAATTATAATTTCTTTATTTTAGTCATATTTACTCATTTCTTTTTTAGCTAAATTATTCATATGTTTTTCATAAGTTTCTAATATCATTTCACAGGTGTACATATCTTTAACAATCTCTAATCTTATTTTTTCAATTATAAATTGTTTTAATTCTATAGGTAATTTTTCAAGTATTTTTAATGTAATTGTTATAATTTTATTACATAATATTGGTTTTATAATTATTATGTTAAAATTTTCTTTTATTATATGGTATTTATTACCTAAATCTTTAATTTTCATTGTTTTACTTTTACTTTTAATAATAGTATTACCTAAATCTATATGGCTCTGATACCAGAGAGGGGGGCTACTATGAGAGAAAAAAAAAATCAAAAATCTTGAAATCTAATAATCTTAAATATGGTCTTTATGGATTTTTAGATATTCTTAAATATTTTATGGTTTTATTTATAATGTGTTGAGTAAATCTTCAAAATCTAATAATATCTGAGAATTTACAATATCAAGATCTGTTATTATATCTATATTTGGATTAAAAGGTATATCGTATTTTAAAATATTGTTTCTTCTTTTTTCTAATTTGTCTATTATATCCTATATATCTTTTGTTATTATAGATCTTACAATACCTTTAGCAAAATTTTCTATCATATTTTCTTTGAAATATTTTAATATTTTTTGTGATGCTATTAACTGTTCTTGATATCCAATTTTATCAAATTCATTTTTAAATTCAATTTCTTTTTTATCTTTTGCAATTTTCTTAATCTTATATGGTCCTCTTTTAGATCTTGATTTTTTGTATGTCATTTTATGATAATCTAATTCTTTAGGACTTGATTGTATTTTTTTCATATCTTAGTTACTTTAGATAAATATTATATTTGGGGTATTTTGGGTAGTTTCAATTTTTTAGGAAAGTCAAAGGCCATTCTTGAAATATGGCTTTGTTTTTAGGCTATTCATGTGTATATTCCTGAGATTCAAACATACATCTGAAGAAATAATTAGTTCAAATAATATCACAAAACTTTGTCAAACTCTTCTCATTTTTATATCCTCAATAATATATAATTTATTGTCTAAGTTGAGTAGGAAGATTAGAATGTCTAAGATTGTGATGCATTTCAATGTATTGAAAATTAAATAAAAGATTACTAATTAAATAAACGGATGAGGATTTTTACTAATTATGAATGATATTATTCAGGAAAGTACTATCAACTTTGTATACTTTGTCGAGAACGTTTAAAATTCTTTCGCTTTTTGTTATAATTGAAATTGTTATTGAACGATATGAATTATATTTTCATTTTTTCTATTTTCTTTCTCATTTTGATTTTTTCCATTTTTTTTTATTAATATTGAAGCTTTGATTTGTAAGTTGAAAAATTTGTACATAAAATTTAATTCAGATGAGAACGGTTGTTTGATATAATTTGATTAAAAGTATAAAAAAATATCTTTTGATCGATGTATAAAACAAGGTTAACATCTAAGATAAGAATTAGAAATAAATATTTATTTTTTGTTTTTAACTAAAAGCATAATTTCCTATTTAGGTAAGGATAAGAGTTTTTGAGATTTTCATTGCACATATTTTACTAACAAATTTCAAAATAATTTTTTTTTCTATTAATAATAATTAAAGGAAATTATTTTAATTTCTACATTTAAATTTTCCATTATATAAAGTGAAAAAAAAATAGTACTAGCTGAAAAGTTCAAGATTAACAAAATAATAATTTTTAACGTCTTTATTAATTGAAAAAAATGTTGTAGTAAATATAGTTATCGTTTAAATTTCTTATCGGTAGTAAATTCTATCAATATTCAAATAGAAGTTCCAAAAGTAATTTAAGGTTTAAAAGCTTTTGATTGGTTATTTATGTGTAAATTGAACTAACCTTTGAACGAAGTAGTGGAACTATTCAACTATTTAATTTTTTTTTTTTTGGTCCCTCAACAACCTTTAAAAATAGCAAATTTGTCAACACGGACAACCTCACTTTTTTTTCTTTAATTGCTCATACTTTTAATTGATAAAATTGGTGTAGATATCGATATCGATAGCAATTCGATGAATTAATTATAAGGTACCTTGCAACAAAAAAATCACTGTCATCTTCCATTTATTAAATGCAAGAAACTGTCATCGCTAATACTTGATATCGAAATAGCAATATAAATTTAACTAACCGTGAATTGTTCGGCATGCATGCCTTGGGAAGCCAAAAATTTTAACCGCATTGATATATGGATGAAAGTCCAGAAAGTAAACAAGTACTCCATTGATATATGGATGAAAAACCTGATATTCACGCATAACAGCTCCTCTTAGGTACGAAACTTGATGGAAGACATTAAGAAGAAACTGATAAAATGAAAAGGGCTATCGGGAAATGCTAAAAAGATTTTATCCCTAAAATTTTGTGTTCTTAATCATCCAAGATGATGCACTCATAGATCCATGCACACGCTTATCAATTCTATATTCTGGTTTTGGACTCCGAGCCTTTTCTTTTTGGGAACAATACAAA